AAGCGGCATCAACAGCATCTACACAAACTGTACACATTGTCTAACTCTTATTCTGATTAGTCTGCACAGAAGATTCGAGAAGAACTGACTATGGTAGATTACAGTCCTACTCTAGTCTGTCTGTTAGGTGTCAGCAGTCGGTCAACCAACTAATCAAAATAAAAACATAGACAAGTGTGAGCAGATGTATGCACAATGGATATGTCAATGATGTATAGTTGAGTTCACAATTGGAATCCCCTTCCCCTGTATCCAACATACCTGTGAGCATCATCAAGCTGCGGTGTCTAAGGTGTGCAACCACGGCCCACCCCTGTGCCCAAGAAGTATGCTTATGACCAGCCTGCCCCTTGTTTACCCTCGCGTGCAACGAGCCTTACGTCTGACTGATCTGGCTGAACAGGAGGGATTTAAGGAGAGCCCCCATCTCCTCAGGAATTATTTAACGTCGCAATCAGGACGACGATCACAGCTAGTGGACAAATCAGACCCCAACCAGAAATGTTTATAGATGGTCTGGGAATGTCTCAATAGGACTGGTCAGTCTGCACACCCCTTCTATCAGCGCAGCAAAGAGCCACAATGGACAAAGCAGCCATCGCATGCGTGTACTAATCCCGTTGGGTTGGCATGGTGACCGTGACCCACGTGCTTCGACCAGGGCCCTTCAGAGGCACCGCCCTCTCCTGCCAGATGCGCCACTGGGAAGAATGTCGTCTCTCAAGATAGAGCGCACACGACTCCTCACCAAAGAGAGGACACTCAAGTTGGACTCACTTCCTCACAGTAAGAAGAGATTGAGAGGGTAGATAAGGAATGGGAACAACATACCTGAAGATAGCTGCCCCCAACCACAGATTTCTCACCAATTGGACTGATGTGCATTTCGATGACCGGTCAATAGCCTCGGTACCACCCACAACGCAATGTAGTGCCACCTCAGCCAAAATGCCACGTCAGCATACTCTCATCATCATGTATACATCCGCTGTCGCCACAGCTCCCACGCTGTCGCCACAGCCTTCCAGCGGCTGGCCTCTCTACCTAGGCCCCGCTATTCAACCAGCGGCAAAGTATACTCACTGCACATGAAGCATCCTCAGCGCACCAAGTTACAATGTCAMCGGTGTCAGGT